TTGTGGCATCCTTGTCTGGTTTTGGTATCAAGGTGATGGTGGCCTCGTAGGATGAGTTTGGGAGTGTTCCTCTCTCTGCTATATTTTGGAAGTGTTTAAGAAGAGTAGGTGTTATCTGTTCTCTAAATGTTTGATAGAATTCGCCTGTGAAGCCACCTGGTCCTGGGCTTTTGTTTGTTGGAAGATTTTTTTTTTTGGAAGATTTTTAATCACAGTTTCAATTTCAGTGCTTGTGATTGGTCTGTTCATATTTTCCATTTCTTCCTGGTTCAGTCTTGGCAGGGTGTCCATTTCGAAGAATTTGTCCATTTCTTCCAGCGTGTCCATTTTATTGGCATAGAGTTGCTTGTAGTAATGTCTCATGATCTTTTGTATTTTTGCAGTGTCAGTTTTTACTTCTCCTTTTTCATTTCTAATTCTATTGAGTTGAGTCTTCTTCCTTTTATTCTTGAAGAGTCTGGCTAATGACTTATCAATTTTGTTTATCTTCTCAAAGAACCAGCTTTTAGTTTTATTGATCTTTGCTATCATTTCCTTCATTTCTTTTTCATTTATTTCTGATCTGATTTTTATGATTTCTTTCCTTCTTCTAAGTTTGAGGGTTTTTTTGTTGTTCTTTCTCTAGCTGCTTTAGGTACAAGGTTAGGTTGTTTATTCAAGATGTTTCCTGTTTCTTAAGGTAGCTTTTTATTGCTATAAACTTCCCTCTTAGAACTGCTTTTGCTGCATCCCATAGGTTTTGGGTTGTCGTGTCTCCATTGTCATTTGTTTCTAGGTATTTTTTGATTTCCTCTTTGATTTCTTCAGTGATCACTTCGTTATTAAGTAGTTTATTGTTTAGCCTCCATGTGTTTGTATTTTTTACAGATCTTTTCCTGTAATTGATATCTAGTCTCATAGCGTTGTGGTCGGAAAAGATACTTGATACAATTTCAATTTTCTTAAATTTACCAAGGCTAGATTTGTGACCCAAGATATGATCTATCCTGGAGAATGTTCCATGAGCACTTGAGAAAAATGTGTATTCTGTTGTTTTTGGATGGAGTGTCCTATAATTATCAATTAAGTCCATCTTGTTTAATGTATCATTTAAATCTTGTGTTTCCTTACTTATTTTCATTTTGGATGATCTGTCCATGGGTGAAAGTGGGGTGTTAAAGTCCCCTACTGTGAATGTGTTACTGTCAGTTGCCCCTTTTATGGCTGTTAGTATTTGCCTTATGTATTGAGGTGCTCTTATGTTGGGTGCATAAATATTTACAATTGTTATATTTTCTTCTTGGATGGATCCCTTGATCATTATGTAGTGTCCTCCTTTGTGTCTTCTAATTGTCTTTATTTTAAAGTCTATTTTGTCTGATATGAGAAATGCTACTCCAGATTTCTTTTGGTTTGCATTTGCATGGTATATCTTTTCCCATCCCCTTACTTTCAGTCTGTATGTGTCTCTAGGTCTTCAGTGGGTCTCTTGTAGACAGCATATATATGGGTCCTGTTTTTGTATCCATTCAGCCAATCTGTGTCTTTTGGTGGGAGCATTTCGTCCATTTACATTTAAGGTAATTATCGAAATGTATGTTCCTATTCCCATTTTCTTAACTGTTTTGAGTTCGTTATTGTAGGTCTTTTCCTTCTCTTGTGTTGCTTGCCTAGAGAAGTTCCTTTAGCAGTTGTTGTAAAGCTGGTTTGGTGGTGCTGAACTCTCTCAGCTTTTGCTTGTCTGTAAAGGTTTTAATTTCTCCATCAAATATGAATGAGATCCTTGCTGGGTAGAGTAATCTTAGTTGCAGGTTTTCCTCCTTCATCACTGTAAATATGTCCTGCCACTCCCTTCTGGCTTGCGGAGTTTCTGCTGAACGATCAGCTGTTAACCTTATGGGGATTCCCCTGTGTGTTATTTGTTGTTTTTCCCTTGCTGCTTTTAATATGTTTTCTTTGTATTTAATTTTTGACAGTTTGATTAATATGTTTCTTGGCGTATTTGTCCTTGGATTTATCCTGTATGGGACTCTCTGTTCTTCCCAGACTTGATTAACTATTTCCTTTCCCATATTAGGGAAGTTTTCATCTATAATCTCTTCAAATATTTTCTCAGTCACTTTCTTTTACTCTTCTTCTTCTGGAACCCCTATAATTTGAATGTTGGTGCATTTAATTTTGTCCCAGAGGTCTCTGAGACTGTCCTCAGTTCTTTCTTCTGCTCTGCAGTAGTTATTTCCACTATTTTATCCTCCAGGTCACTTATCCGTTCTTCTGCCTCAGTTATTCTGCTATTGATCCCATCTAGAGTATTTTTAGTTTCATTTATTGTGTTGTTCATCATTGTTTGTTTCATCTTTAGTTCTTCTAGGTACTTGTTAAATGTTTCTTGCATTTTCTCTAATCTATTTTCAAGATATTGGATCATGTTTACTATCATTATTCTGAATTCTTTTTCAGGTAGACTGCCTATTTCCTCTTCATTTGTTAGGTCTCGTGGGTTTTTATCTTTGTCCTTCATCTGCTGTGTGTATTTCTGTCTTCTCATTTTGCTTATCTTACTGTGTTTGGGGTCTCCTTTTTGCAGGCTGCAGGTTCCTAGTTCCCGTTGTTTTTGGTTTCTGTCCCCAGTGGCTAAGTTTGGTTCAGTGGGTTGTGTAGGCTTCCTGGTGGAGGGGACTAGTGCCCGTGTTCTGGTGGATGAGGCTGGATCGTGGCTTTCTGGTGAGCAGTTCCACATCTGGTGGCGTGTTTTGGGGTGTCTGTGGACTTATTATGATTTTAGGCAGCGTCTCTATTGATTGGTGGGGTTGTGTTCCTGTCTTGCTTGTTGTTTGGCATAGCGTGTCCAGTACTGTAGCTTGCTGGTTGTTGAGTGTAGCTGTGTGTTGGTGTTGAGATGGAGATCTCTGTGTGATTTTCACTGTTTGATATTACGTGGAGCTGGGAGGTCTCTTGTGGACCAGTGTCCTGAAGCTGGCTCTCTCACCTCAGAAGCACAGCACTGACTCCTGGCTGCAGCACCAAGAGCCTTTCATCCACACTGCTCAGAATAAAAGGGAGAAAATGTAGAAAGAAATAATTAGTAGAAGTAGAAAGAAAGAAGGGAAGAAAGAAAGAAGGAAAGAAAGAAAGAAGGAAAGAAAGAAAGAAAGGAGGGAGGGAGGGTGGGAAGGAGGTTGCCTTTATTTTTCAGGGACATTTTTGCTGAATTTAGATTTGGATTGGCAGGGTTTTTACTTTCAGTATGTTAAAGGTTTCATTCCACTATTTTTGGCTTATGTGACTCTGGTACGAGGTCTTGTGTTCTTGTTCTTCTGTAAGTAAGGTGTTCCCTCCACCCTTTTTCCCTGACTGCCTTCAGTATTTTATTTTGCCTGTTTTTCTGCAGTTTGAATTTGATATGTCTGGGTGTGATGTGACTCTTTTACAAATTTTATTTACCCTGCTTTGTGTTCTCTGAGATACTTGGATCTGGGGTTTATATCAATTGCTAATTATGAAAAATTTCAGCAATTATTTATTCAAATATTTTTTCTCCATTCTCTCTCTCTTCTCCTTCTAGTATTCTAACTTGATAGTGTCCCAAAGCTCTTGGATATTTTGTTCTGTTTTCTTTTTTTACCCTTTATTTTTACTCTGCATTTCAGTTTGTGTAATTTCTATTGTTCTAGCTTCAATTTCACTTATTCCTCAGCTGTGTCTGGTTCACTAATAAGCACACTGAAGGCATTCTTCAGATCTGTTAATGTGTTTTTTCTCTTGTATTTACATATGATTCTTTCTTATACATTTTATCCCTTGCTGCTATCTTATCTGATCTTGCATGTTGTCTAACTTTTCCAATATAGAAAAGTATTTAACATATTAATCACAGCTATTTTAAGTTGTCTGTTGGAAATTCCAAAATGTGTCATAACTGGGTCTTGTCCTGATGATTTTTTTGTCTCTTCAGACTATGTTTTTTTCTTTCCTTGATTCTTCCCTTGTGCTGCTCTCTGGAGGCAACTTACCTCTTGCATTCTTTAAAAATAAAGTCTGCTATTATTTTACTTGATTTATTTTAGCCTTGTAGTGGAGAATAGGGGACTAGGGACATACTATGCTATTTTGATTAAGTCTCAGTCTTAGGCAGGCTTATCCTGAGTCATAGAGGTGTGACTTTCCCAAATGTTCCTGCCCCTCCTCTAAATATAACTGTGAGCTTAGGACATATTCCTATCCCTCCTGGGTTATAGCATTTTTTCAAATTTTCTCCTTCACCTGTGGTGGTGAGTTTCCACCTGTGCCCTCAGTTCCTATTGCCATTCCTTCTGCAGAGCAAGGCTTGTTTTCCCTAGGGGAGATAGAGTAGATTGGTCTGGGCAGAGTTTTAGTGGTGTTGGGTATTCCTCTCTGCTAGCTGCAGTGAATTTCCACCAGTGCGCTCAGACTACAGTTTTATTACCTTTCCCTGTGAAGGTTAAGGCCTTTGTTCTGCAGTGTATAAAGGCAGAATGCTTTGGGCACAATTTCAGCAATGGATGCTGTTCTGTTTCCCTCCCCAAACCAAAACTATAGGATATCTTTCTCCGGATTCTTATTCTTCCCTGCCAGCACCTGGTGGACTTCTTAGGGGGAAAGTCTGCAAGAGGATTCAAAACCACCTATGTCTACAGCCCCCAGGGGTTTCACATTCTCACACTAACACACAACCAACTTTTAGCAATTCATTAACAAATTTTAGCTGTTATCTTCTTATGACTTTACATATTATTCAGTAGTATCTGCAAAAGATAAGCAAGTACCTGGGCCCTGTTGTTCCCTGTAGATGCCTATGTCTACAGATTTTGGGTTAGCTTTTAGCATTGCAATCTCAGTTTGCTCATGAATTCAATAGAGGACAATTTGCAATTTTCCAGTTTTTGTTTTCCTTGTTCTAATTGTGGGCGAGATGCTCATTCCAATTCTACAGCTCTGAGTTGATACCAGAATATCATGTGAACCTGGGGATAAGATTTGAGGCTCTGTTTGTCTTCCAGCATCCATACCCCAGTTTACAAATTCCCCCACGATGGTGATAATGGTGGGTTTACCAGCTCGAGGAAAGACCTACATCTCCACGAAGCTCACCCGGTATCTCAACTGGATAGGAACACCAACTAAAGGTATGTCCCTGAAAGCCTTTGTTCTACAGCCCTCTATAGGCCAATTATGGAAAATACAGTAAGGTAGCTGACCTCAAAAGGGCAAAACCACGAGTAAAGGAATGTCTCAAAACATTATTAACAGTATTAGGACTAATACTATTACTGCTGCTGCTGCTCCTCTACTACAACTGCTACTACTACTACTGCTACTACTACTACTACTACTATATCACCACCACCACCACCACCACCACCACCACCACCACCACCACCACTGACCTCATAAATTTTTACAGTTTCTTAAGTACGTAATCTGTGCCCAATCCCGTGATAGCTGCTAAGCATAAGAAAACTACAAAGATTAAATATCTGTTTTCAAGGAGCACTATTTTTGTAAGACCTCAAAAAAACCCTATGAGTAACATGCTACTTTTATCACCTTTATTATTACTTCTACACCAAAAATGCGATTCTTATTAGCATTACCATTTCTTCACAACCTTAAGGTTTTCTTTAAATTTTAGGGGTGTGTGGAGTCAAGCACCTCAAAGCCCCAGCCTGGAGTCCCCCACAAGGTCTTCAGTAAAGCAGGGCACTTTAGCTCACCTCTCCTGTCCAGAAGGCGTCCACTCTCTCCAAGCTTCTCCTTAGGTCTGAGCCTATCTGCTCCCCCTCCCCAGCCGGAAGTGATCCTGCCTCTTTCCGCCTCCAGAAGGGTCTCCTTCCCTGCCTGTCAGCCTCCTCCCTCACTCCCTACTTCCAGCTTTCCTTTCTCCCCAATGTGATCTCTTTTCTGCTTACTACCTCTTATTCAGCAATCATTCTTTTCTATTCTCCATTTGATTTCTCTATCCCCCGCACTGTATCCCCATTCCTATTTGATTCCTCTGTTGCCCCTAGGAGGACTATGTTTCTCTGGGCTCCCACACCAATGCTTCCTACAGACCCCTCTATGCCAACCTTAGTTACATAGTGTGTTGTTGTAGTGTGTTGTGTGTCTGGGTCTCTCTCCCCAGGAGCTGCTCTGGGGTAGGGGACTAGATCATGTTAATTTCTATTGCTTAAGTAGGACCAAATTAAGACATTTAGAGTCTCTAAATGCTAAAAGTTAGGGTGCCCCCTACATCATACGTAATTCAGAATAAAATCAGTAAATACAAGAAAGTCTACCAAAAGTTTTTATTTATCCCCCAATGACTATTGATGCTTTTAACATATATCAACTTAGCTGAAAATTATTACTGGGACTGTGTTTCTCCTTTACTAGTACACTGGTACACAAGTGCTTAGCCTCTGTCTCTTGTGGAAAGGAGCACTGCTCCCCAGTGTGGAAAACAGTTCTTCTTGGGCAATCACTTGCTCACTCAGTCAGTAATTATTTGCTGAGCACACAGTTGTGCCAAGGCCCTTGTTGGATGTTGGATCCCTGCCCTCAAAGAACTCACATCTATTTTTTAAACTTTATTGGAGTATAATTGCTTTACAATGTTGTGTTAGTTTCTGCTGTATAACAAAGTGAATCAGCTATAAGTATACATATATCCCCATATCCCCTCCCTCTTTCATCTCCTTCCCACCCTCCCTATCTCACCCCTCTAGGTGGTCACAAAGCACAGAGCTGATCTCCCTGTGCTATGCAGCTGCTTCCCACTAGCTACCTATTTTATATTTGGTAGTGTATATATGTACATGCCAGTCTCTCACTTGGTCTCAGCTTCCCCTTCCCCCTCCCCATGTCCTCAAGTCCATTCTCTACGTCTGCGTCTTTATTCCTGTCCTGCCCCTAGGTTCTTCAGAACCTTTTTTCTGTTTGTTTTTTAGATTCCATATATATGTGTTAGCATATGGTATTTGTTTTTCTCTTTCTGACTTGCTTCACTCTGTATGACAGACTCTATTCTTAAGTTCTAAAACACCCATGTAGGAAGAACTAGTATTATCATCATTCCACAGTTGATGAAATTAATGCCCAAGAGGTGACGTGTCTTGTCTAAAGGCACATGGTCACTAAGTGATAGAACCAGAATATGAACCCACATCTGGTTGATTCCAAAGCCTGACACTCACTGTGGCAGGTCTGATACTTGGTGCTACTGATGGGAAGAAGAAAGAACCCACATTGGCCCTGTGCTCTCCTCTACACTCTTCCTCTTATTTCCCTTGACCATACCAACACCCTATCTCTCTGCCCCCTTCCCTCCCTCTCTCCAAGTATTCTCCTCCCCTTCTCCCATTTCTTCTTTCTCTTCATGTACTTCCTCTTTCTCTAATTCACTGGTGAAGAGTTCCCCAGTGGTTTTCCATGTGCCAAAACCCATACTATGCACTGGAGATGCAAAACTGGATGAGATTCACAACCTGTCCTTGAAGATTTCTCCATCTGGCTGGGATGCATAAGAATACAACATGTCACTGAAGAATCCCAGAGCAGGATACTGATGGGCCTCACAGAGGAAATCACCTACTGGAAGGCAGTGAAAGCTTCCAGATAGGGTGTATTTGAGCTGGGTGTGTCCTGTGGGAGGAGTAGAACATTGGAAGAAGAGAAGGGAAGAAGGAGTAGTTCTTGTAGGACTGCAGGCTCTGATGAGCCTCTGCTGAGCATAGAGGCACATGGGACAGTGTCAGATGGGTCTCTGCTCTAATGCACCTGCTTCCCACCTGCTCCACTTGCACAGAGGCCCTCAGAGTCATGTTTCAAATGCCAAGATGACCATATCTATAGCCACCAAGGGTTCCCTTGGCCTGCAGGTTTAAATCCAAGCTCCTTAGCCTATCATTCAAGGCCCTCCACAGTCAGTCTCTGACAGCCTCACAGGCCTCAGTTACAGTGGATGTCTCATGTTCTGCCTCCTGCCAATGCCATACCTTTGCTCAAACTCTTCCTCTACCTGAAATGTCTTTGTTCCCCTCTCCCATACCCCATGCCTGCCAATAAAAGACCTGCCTTCCTATAAAGACTGGTACAAATGCTGCTTTTTCCAAGAAACCATCTGAGATCACCCCAAGCTTAATTAGTCTTTCCTTCCTCCTTGCTCTTTTGCATGGCTCTGTTAGAGCACTTAACACACTGGGTGAGAGCTCTCTGTTTACTGATTTACTGTTTACTCTCTTTCCTACATGCTAGATTGTGAGCTCCTTGGGGCCTCATCATGCAGATCTGTTTCATCTCTGACACCCCAGAACTCATGTCCTGATTCACAAAGTAGGCATGAGAAACTATTTATTGGATGAATGAAGAAAATATTACATTACCTCTTTGCCTATTTTCCCCTCTTTCCCCCTTTCCTTCCCTCCTCTCTGATTTTTCACCATTACAAATGAGAAAGTGTGGCCTAAAGAAGGCAATAAATCTAGACTCTCTGTCTTGATACAGAAAATGTAATAACATTGGACTAGGATTCAGGAGGCCCAGTCTAGTTATGTCCCCAGCTGACTCAATGTTTGACCCTTGATGACTGATTTTACTCCCTGGGTCCCAATTTCTTTATCTTTCCAATGCAGTAATGTACAGAACACAGTAATAATATATAGTAATACTATGGGCATTAAAAGGTTTGGAGTTTATGATTAAATGGAATAGTGGAAAGATCACCAGCTTTGGAACCAAACAGTCCTGGGTTTGAGTCCCATCTCTCCACTTATTAGCTATGAGAGTTACTCCCTTGATTTCCTCATTTATAAATGGGAATGATGATTCCTACTTTTCAGGGTTGTTGTAAGGAGTAAATGAGCTGGTAGCCATAATTTGAAGCTTTGTAAAAATATTATATAGCTACAAACTATACCTTCTTTTACCTCTGAGCTACCTCCAAGAAAGGACATTATTTTGCCACTGGGATCTTCCCAACCTCTTCACCAGGGCTCCTGCTTTCAGTGTTTAATTTAGGCCAGTATCGACGAGAGGCAGTGAGCTACAAGAACTACGAATTCTTTCTCCCAGACAACATGGAGGCCCTACTTATCAGGAAGTGAGTACCTAATATATTAAAGACATGTGCTGCCCCCTGGCTGAGGGAGACTTTTGTTCAAATGATGGGGGAGTAGGGCAGAGCAACTTGGGTTAGCAAGGAGTCCACCTAGAGTCTCAAAGGGTGGTTAGGACAGCCCTTCTACTATCTTAACCAAAGCTTATTTCTGGTCATATCCATCCCCTGCTTAAGAACTTTTAACAGTTTCCTACTTCTGACAAGAGAGAGTGGAAACTTAGCCTAGAATTTAAAATAAGAGTCTCAGTAGCTTGGCCCACTCCAGTCTCATCCATTCAACCTCAAGTTGTCTCTCCTCTACAAGACTCTGAGCACTTCCAGAACAGAGCCTGGGTCTCATTTATTGATCCATATCCTCTTAATAGAACTCAGCAAAGAGTAATCACTAACCAGATTTTTGCCAAAAGCATAAATACATTTCCACGTTATTACCTGTGCTTGCCCTGTTACATATGCCAGGAATGCCTTCTCCTTCACAGACCATATATTCAGGCTCTTCTTGGGTTCAAGAACCAATTCAGCTTGAGCGCTATTAGTTCAAGGTTTGGAACCCTTAATATTATGGCTCTGTCATTCGTCAACTTTTCCTGGGATGTTACTTTATACCTGCACCTAAAATGTCTACACAGAGCCATTTTCAACTGTGTGACCTCTCTGTGCTTGTACCTAGAATATAGGACACCCGTTGTAGATATTCAACAGATGAATAATTTAATGTAGGACATCTAAGAGATAGTGCAAAAGATAATTCAGAAAAATAGAGAGGAGCCCATTTTGGGTATAATGGTTGTTTCTCTTTCTTTCTTCATCTTTTTCAGGCAATGTGCCATAGCAGCCCTGAAAGATGTCCATAACTATCTCAGCTGTGAGGAAGGTCACGTTGCGGTAAAGAAATTTGCATTTTTTCTTAGGTTTCTGCTGGGTTGGAGAAGAGCTAATATATATTGAGCATTTACTATGTTCTAAACATTGTTCTAAGCACTTTGCACATATTTATTTAATTTCCACCCTCCCCCATGAGATAGGTATTGTTATTATACTCCATTTTATAGCCCAGAAGAATGTCGTGCAGAGAGATTAAATAATTAAATATTTTACCAAGGCGGCAGGCCAGAACTGGAATACAGGTTGTATAGTTCCAGAATCTACACTCCTTTTTTCTTTCTTGTTTTAAAAAATTTTATTTATTTATTTATTTATTTATTTATTTATTGGCTGTGTCAGGTCTTAGTTGTGGCACATGGGATCTTCGTTGAGGCTTGCAGGATCTTTTGTTGCACCACGTGGGATCTTTCATTGCGGTGCATGGGCTATTCACTGCACTGCACAGGCTCTCTCATTGTGGCGTGCGGGTTTTCTCTTCTCTAGTTGTGGCGCACAGGCTCCAGGGTGCATGGGCTTTGTAGTTGTGGCACGTGGGTTCCAGAGATTGTGGGCTCTGTAGTTTGTGGCACGCAGTCTCTCTAGTTGAGGCACGCGAGCTCAGTAGTTGTGACACATGGGCTTAGTTGCCCCGCGGCATGTGGGATCTTAGTTCCCTGACCAGGGATCGAACCTGCATCCCCTGTTTTGGAAGGCTGATTCTTTACCACTGGACCACCAGGGAAGTCCCCAGAATCTACACTCTTAACCAGTATACACTACCACTCCATCCCCAAGAATTCAGCAGGACTACACTAGAATTTGACTGCAATACAAACATTTTTAAGTTCTAGAGATTTAACTAAACATTTAATCAATTTAATCTCATAGACCTTTGGGAGTTGCAAATTCTAAAAGGGCTTCAAAGAGCTCCAAAGTGATAGGGAAGGAAGAAGCTTCACCTAGGAGTTGAGAGAATCGGTTCCAACTCTGCTTTGTCAGAGTTTGTGACAGTTTGTCTCTCTGTGACATTGGTTAAGGCAAACACTTCCTCTAAGCCTCAGCTACTTTACCTGTAAAATAACTCTAATAAACCCCCACCATTTTCCTCTTGCTTTATTATGTCTACAGAGTCTGCTACATTTCTGGGCAGGCAGTGAGGGCTCAATGAGTGCTTGAGAAATTGATATAAGCCATTTCCAAATCCTTCAAAACCCTGTTCAAGTTTTATCTCCTTCTGGAAGCCCTCTACTTAGCACAGGGATGGTCAAAAAGTAGGCATTCTATCAGAGCCAGATTCAGAGCAAACCAATCTCATCGTGTGCCTCTAGGTTTTTGATGCCACCAACACTACCAGAGAACGACGGTCACTGATTCTGCAGTTTGCTAAAGAACATGGTTACAAGGTAGAGTAACTCTCTAACTCTTATCTAGAGCCTACTCATTTAACAAACACCAAAGAAAGGCAAACCAGGGGAGGAAGAGATGCCAAATCAGCTACCATAGGGTCAGCATTTTAATTTAGTTGTAGGATTTTCCAGGTCACAGTTAGAAGCATCAAAACAGAACAGAACAGGAAAGAAGAGGTGCCACATTAGGCAATGGAAGATAATTGCTGACAAGCTGACACTGTGGGGGTGGGTATGAGGAAGGAGGAGAGAGAACCACTACAATTCAGGGCCAATCTGACTCATAAAACTCAGAATCCTGAAAGCACCACTGTATGAAATTATGTTGTCAGAGATACCTCTAAAGATGACTCAGAGCCATTGAGAAGGGGTCAAGCTATGTTTGACTCCTACCAAACATAATTCCTTGCTGGAAATCTTTCTTCTGTTTCTTTTACAGGTCTTTTTCATCGAGTCCATTTGTAATGACCCTGACGTCATTGCAGAAAACATCAGGGTAAGGAGCACCAGTCACCTTTCCTTCTTATTTTGTCTCAGATTTGGCTCATACCTAGAAATACCTCTGTGCAGTTAAAGGAGGTGTCTTCCCTGAGCTTCTCCTCCCACTTCCTATGGGAAGTATTCCCTGATCATCCTGGCATACAATGATTCTGTGAAATTCCTTTAAGTATTGGAGAGGAAACTAAGGTTCCAAGAGGAGAGGTAAGTTGTCAAGTGTTCATACAGCCAGGAAGAGGTAGAACTGGGACTGGACCTCAAGCTTGGATGTCTGCCTTGAAAGCTCTTTTTTCTGACCCACAATTCATATCAGAGCTATCACTGCTCTTTTCTACAGTTTCTAGGCATGTGGTCTAGATTTAGTTCACTCACTACATTTTATTGTTCCCTATTTCATTAAATTACTGTATCTTGGGGACAGAGGTGACCTTAAAGGTCACCTCCTTCAACACTTCATCAGAAACTTGAAATCTTAGCTAATTGTTTGTGTAGATTTTCTCCTTGTACCTCCAGGTGTGGAAGCTCATTGCCTTCATTAAGTGCAGTCCAATCAATCTGAAATCTGCCTCCCTGTAATTTCCACTCATTGGTCCTAATTTTGCCTCTTGAGGCATAGAATATGTCCAAGTACTCTCTTTCCTTTTCATCCATCCACCTATCCATCCATTTGTTGACTAAACATAAATTGAATACATACACCTGGGTTGAACCATTCTGGGTACTAGAGACAAAAATAGATAGGGGAGCGCCTGGCCCTTGAGCTCACAGTCTAGTGAGGGAGACTGACAATTTTATAGACATAATTCTGTGAGATCAGTGCTGAGATGAAGAAACAAAGTAGGCTGTGGCAGCACAGTGTTGAGGACCTAACCTTGCATGGGAAGGCTTCTCAATGAAGGTAATAGCTGACCTTCATCTTGAAGAATGCATAGGAATTTGGCAAGTAAAGAATGGAAAATAGGGGGATAGCATATACTAAGTATGGCATCTATGGGGAACTAGAAATAGCTTAGGTTGTCTAAAGCAAAGTGTGTGGAGGTCTAGAGGGGCAATGGGAGAGGAGGATGAAGAAATCATTTGGGGCCCAATCATAACAAGCCATGAGTCACCTGCTAAAATATTTCATACTTTGTCCTAAAAGATGTGAGGAAATGGTGAAGGGTTTCAAGCAGAGGAATTCCATATTCAGATGTGCATGTTAGAAATATCCTTCTGGCTGCTAGTATGGGAAAGTAACTAGGCTATAGACAGAGTAACCAGTCACAAAGCTAGAGTGAGCATCCAGGAAAGAGAATGGAGGCCAGCTGGAGAGATATTTAGAAGATACAGGGGGGAAGATTTGGTACCTTCTTAGAGGTGGGGGATGATAGAAAGAGACACATCTAGGATGACTCCCAGATTCATTTTAGGCTCAGGTGACTTGAGTAGATGATAGTGACATTCACTGAGATGGTGAATGTGGGTAGAGAAGGTAGATATATTAAGGGATTAGGAGTTGCCAGCCCCTCAGAAATCTAAAGCCAATATATGCCATGTTATCCCAGTAAACACTCAATACATGTAAGCCATTATGATCCCCAGCCAAGATCTCCTGTTCCTTTTCTTCAACCGTTTCTCACCCACAATTTCCAGGCCACTTATAAATGTTTCTCTTAAACAGTGTGTGAACTGAATATAATGTAACAGACCTTGTTTGAGCACACAGGGATAAGGAATGAGGTGTTAACACAGTACAGATTCTCTTCAACTGACTGATTTTGTAAACTTGGGCAAGAACCTTTCTCCAAGTCTCAACTTCCTCATCTTTATGATGAGGAATGTTGTACTCAGTGATCTCTAAGGGTTCTTCCCAAGGGCACTGTCGGATTCTCTGTCTCCCATGGTTCTTCCATCTTTCTCCCTTCTTCCAGCAAGTGAAACTTGGCAGCCCTGATTACATAGACTGTGACCATGAAAAGGTTCTGGAAGACTTTCTAAAGAGAATTGAGTGCTATGAGGTCAACTACCAACCCTTGGATGATGAACTAGACAGGTAAGAACCCAGAACCCCAAAGTAAAGGTCAGGATCCTTAGACCGGTTTTGATGTCCTGTAGGACCTGGAGGAATGCCTTCCTTCTCTGGGCCTCAACTTTATTTGTAACATCAGGAAACTGTACTTGATTTGTCTTCAAGGGCCCTCCCAGCTCTAATTATCCATGAGGTGGTGATTCCTTGTTGTGTAAGGTGTTCATCATAAGGGGCTTGAAGTAGTGTTTTCCTGAACAATGTGGACATATTAGGACCCTGATCTCAGGGGGGGAGAAATGCCTCTCTTCTGTGGTTGTTGCTATTATGTTTTCAAAAGTATTCTTCACACATGGATGATATTTCAGCTTCCAAACATGTTCACCTGTTTTGTTTCATTGAACCCCCTCGGCATCCCTGTTAAGGAGGCTGAAATAGGTCTTATGATCATAAATTTTCAAGAAGAAGAGATTGCATCTTAGAGAGCTGAAACCACTTGCTCAAGCTTCCACCACAAGTCAGGGGGTAGAGCTAGGATTCTAACTACATATTCTGTCTCTTAATCATGTCTGTTTTCACAACACGCATGCACCTTCAACCAGTAAGTATTTGGATTCTTTGGGCTATGGTGTACATCGGGGGTGTAAATAAGGGCAAGAGAGGTAGGTTCTATCCTCAGATAGCTTCCATAGTGCTTTGACATATGGGAAGATACATTAAAAATATGAAACTTTCATTCACAATACCAACTAAAGATTGGAGAGGTGTTAGCTGGCAGTACAGGGAAGATGTGAGTTTTAGACGTAGGGTATACCCAGAACCTCACTTTCTTTCAAAATGGATTGTGATGAGAAGAGACCCTGGTCACTCAGACCCTTTGGGCCCCAAGTAAGAAGTATAAAGAGGCTTCTAACAGTCATCACCACCCAAAGAAGTTTAAAGAGCGTCCTTCCAACTTTGTCCAACCAAAGTCCCCAGAGGTGAGCATTGTTACTGCCTCGCTTCTTAGATGGGGAAACAGACCCACAGCAGGGCAAGGGCTTACCTGAGGCCACACAATGAGTGAGTAGCAGAATATATACTCAAATTCTTGTCTTCAAACTTCCATCATGGTTATCCTCCTCCCACATCCCTATATCATAAAAGTGTCGCATGAGGCTTAGACACTCAGGTCAAGGGGCAGGACCTTGTGTACAATTGTGAATATTGTTCACTGTGCCAGGTCACGGGTACACTTGCTTTTCTCACCAAGACGTGTACTGGAGTAGGGGAAACTTTTTCAAATTTCCACAAAGGCACTGTATGAATAGTAGCATATGGTGAAAGAAGTTTGAAGGAGGGGAGCTAAAATGAAAGAACAGCATTGAGAAAGCCCCTAGCCTTTGGCCTAGACTGCTGCAGGTACTCGGTGTTTGATGAATCAGTTTGGGTCTGAGGACAACTGATTCTGAAAGTTGGCTTTATCTAATCGTTTTTCCATCAACAGACATTTACAATCCATGCATCAAGGCCCACTCCTAAGCTGTGCCCTAGGAACCCAAAGAGGGAAGGTCTATCTATCTCTGTTCTGATAGAATGCCCAGTTGGTTAAGGAAGACAATGAGTATGCAGTTGACCAGAATTGTGGTGATGGTAAAGCAAGTGGGGTGGGGGAACACAGAAGAGGGGACCCAGTCCAACTGGGAGGAAAAGGTCTGGAAGAACATGTTTACCCAGTAGGTGGACTAGACATGCGTTTAGGGCACCAGCAAGGTAGAGTCCACCAAAAATAAGAAAAGAAAATCTTGAAAGCTTTTAATAGTTTGTATTTCAAAAACAGCATCAAGGTAGTCAAAACAGAAAAAAATATAACCAGAACTCAGTAGACCTTCTTCATGTTATAATATAGCTTATAATTTTTATTTTAAATTACACATAATGGGGGTAAGCATTAGCTACTATAAGACTTTTGATGTGAAGTACCTTTAAATGACTTCATATGATCCTGGGCTCAAAGAAAACTTTCTAAAGAGAGTGAATGTACTGGTTCTTGAAGGATGGATGCATAGGAGCTCAACTTTGGAAATCAGGCAAATAACATATTTTCAAGGAAAGAGAACAGTACCTTGCGATGGCCTAGTTAAATCTGAATAAAAGTAGAGAAGTACAGAGAATATTTCAGCAAAAGCATTAAGGCTAGAATGAAACAGAGAAGTTATGAGCATAGACATGGAACACTGAGGTGAGGCAAAGCAGGACCAGTGTATGAAGGCATGTAGAATGTCAGACTAAGCTACAGAATTTGGAAGTTCTCCTAGAGCCACTCAGGACCTAGTACTAGAAACAAGGCAACAAGGCTACGTCAGATATTTTCTACTTAAGTTCTGAGAGTCATAGATGAGATGGTTGGAGAGTTTGACATTAGGCAAATCAATTCCTCTCTCTGTGTTTCAGTTTCCTCACCTATCAGAGATAATAATCTCTGCTTCCTAGGATGGTTATGAGGATTTACACACTTTGAAGCCCCCACCCCTGCCAGGTGCATACATACACACAAAATGGTCAGCAAATGCAAGTGGCCTGTGAGATGTTGGAGACAGTCAGGGACACAGAGGATTACTGTTTCTCTCTGAGTATGTCAGCAGTGTGAACCACAAAAGAGAGAACGCTAGGTGCCTGAAGTGTGAGGAGTGAAAGTAAAAAGACAGTCTGGCTCAAACTGAGATTGAGGAAAGGAGAGAAAAGGAGATGGTAGCAGGCAGTGAGCTCCTCAGAGTGACCAGGAACCAAGTCTCTAGAACAGGTACCCAGACCAGGGCAAGGCATAGCACCTTGTCAGAGGAAAGGTAGGTGAGAGCTGGGTTATGGAGGAAGCTTGAAGGCAGGGTGTGTGGTTGGGGCTTTCTCTTGGGATCAGCCTCTCCACCATCAGCCCCTGAGCTGCCCTTGCTCCTGCTTGGGCTGGCCCAGCCACCTGTCCTACATCAAGATCTTCGACGTGGGCACACGCTACATGGTGAACCGAGTGCAGGACCACATCCAGAGCCGCACAGTCTACTATCTCATGAACATCCACGTCACACCCCGCTCCATCTACCTATGCCGGCACGGTGAGAGTGAACTCAACCTCAGAGGCCGCATCGGAGGTGACTCTGGCCTCTCAGCTCGGGGCAAGCAGGTAGGGATGGCCCCATGCACTCAGAGGTGTTGGCTGATATGGTCCAGGTGGGTTGTGGGTTGGTGGGGTGGCTGCTGCCTGGGTCCTGAGGATGGGGGTACTCAGTGGCAGGATAAAAGCAGGTTCTGGTCACTCTTGCTCTTCCACCCCATCAGCCACTCAGTTTTGACCCACTGAATGGCTCCCAAGTGCCAACAGCATCTGCAAGTCCAATGGCTTGGTCCTGGTCCTCCAGGCCTTCCCAGATCTGGCTGCTCCTCCAGCCCCATTACAATAAGCACCCTCTCTCCTGCCTGACTGGTCCCCTCATCTTTCTCACAACACTGTGCTTCTGCTTGTGCAGTTTCCCCACCAAGGCTGTCCTCCTCTGTCCCCTCTGTCAGCTGGTGACCATCATTTGCACAGATACCTGCCTTAAAGTGCCCCACCTTTGAATCCGTCTTCTCCTCCATTACTCAGGGCTGATTCTACTCCCCCAAACCCCCACTACAGGTTATCACAGGGTCAGCACTTGTCCCCCACCAGTTACCGCTTCTTTTCTGCCCTCCCTGCTCCACCCCTTCCAGGACCCATCTCCTGCTCCATGAGCTGGTCCAGGAAGCCCTCCCCTGTCCTTTCCTGCCCTCCTAGTCAGGTCACCTGGGCTCCATCCCCCCCAGTTCTGGCCCATCTCTGACCCTCACGGTGGGAGTCTCTTTGTAGCTGAGAATAGTGAGCTGCACATTATGGGTGCTGGCCAATTAAAGAGACACATTTTCCCATATTTGGCCCTGACCCTGGGCTTGTTAACACAGTTATTGTTCTTGCTGGGAGGATGGCTTGGGGTGGAACAAGTGGGAAATGAGGTGCAGGAGGGAGGGAGTTTCCTCTCTTATTGGACACCTCTGCACATTCACGGCACCATCTGCTTCCGCATGTGTGGCCTCATTTAATCTTCATAGCAGCTCTGTGCAGTGGCCATTACTGTCACTGATTTATGGATGTGGAGGCTGAGGCCCACACAGGAACAGAGAGTGGCCCCTGGTCACACAGCCAGTAAAGGACAGAGCCAGGACTGAAAACCAGGCCTTCATGCTTGCTCCTCAGCCTCCCCCACTGCAGAGCTGGCAGTATCACAGGCAAGGCATCACACCGGAAGGCCTGGTCCTCCTGGATCATTTTCTGTTACTTTCAGACTGGTAGCCTCCCCTCGAGGTAGACTCTGACCTCTGACTCTCGCCTCTCTCGCTGAGTCAGAGACCACTGGAAGAGCCACCCTAGCCCGTGGCACCACCTACAGCCAGGGGTCTCTTGGTTAGGGCTGTCTGTGGCTTTGCCTGCACAATTTAGCACCCAGTTTGGACACGTGGCCATCTCCACCCAACATACCTCCTTGAACACAAGTGTGCACATGTACATGCACACGCCTGGCCCCAAACTTCATGCTAAAGGGCACAGTGCACCATGCATTGTTTACAAAGCAGTTTCCCATCAACTGTCACCCACCACCAATCACAGTAGCTCTCACTTACTATGTGCCAGGGAGCGCTCTGGGTGCTCCCCATCCACTATCCAATGTGACACTCACAGAGACCAGGCTGAGTGAGCTAACGCTGTTTGCATTTTATAGGCAGGAGATATGAGGCCAGAGACGGCCAGGGACACGTCCCAGGCCACACGGGCATAACCCCCATCGCCTGTCTCCCAGTCAGCACTCCTTCCACCAGAGCACACTGACTGCTGACTCATAATCCATAATTAGAATGTGTGTACACAATGCCTATATTTGTACATAAAAATGTGTGCCTGTATCTGTACATTTGTGCAGATGTTCCTCACACACCATCTGTGATGAATAACATGCCTATATGCAGAAGAATAGTGAACCACTTGCTCATCTGGGCTCCCACAAACCTAAGTGGTTCCTTTTGGTGCTGTCACTATTTCCCTTACTGGACTGACCATGTCTTAATAACAGGACACCCCAGTATGCAGCACATGGCCACACACACTCAGTAAATGTTTAAATGCCCTTAGAACCTGGGTACCAGGTCCCCTGCTCAAACAATGAGAATTCACAGGGTCAAAGATAAATGTACCCCACATCCCACCCCCATACACTTCCAGACCACACTCAGAGTACCCCAAACACTAGAATTTCCTGCCCAGAGTCTGCTTCCATTACCTACATGGGCACATCCCAGAGTCTGTTCACCTGAGAAAAGGCCATGTCACAGAAGTGTTCACCCCTAGGCAAAGGGGTGGCCAAGGGGTTACTGTTTGTGTGTTATGGAGATTGGTGGAGATATGGTGTGGACAGAACTTGTTCCTGTGACTGGATTATCCATAAACGTGTACTCAAGGCACCTAGGAGTGCAAGATGGAGCAGAAATGGGAAAAGGAGGGAAGTAGACTATGAGTGGAGTGCTTCCATTTGTACTTTTCTCCCAGGCTCCACAAATGTTAGAGGTGGGCTGTTTGAATAAATGAACAATCAAGTAGGAGGTTCTGTGAGCAAACATCAGTGAATGCACATGCACACATATGCACATATACACACATAAATACACATATTCTTCTCTATTCCCTTGGTTCTTAGTCACACGGGCAAGAGTATGACTTTTTATAAATTGGGAATGTTTAAACTCTACTTTTGCTTGTTCATCGTCACTCCATTATTTGTGGCAGATCTGAAATTCTTCTCATGGTCACCCTGTCTTCTTTCATCTCTCTTTCTCCCCTGCTCTCCTTCTTTGCACCCCTACTCCCCAGTATGCCTATGTCCTGGCCAACTTCATTCAGTCCCAGGGCATCAGCTCCCTGAAGGTGTGGACCAGCCACATGAAGAGGACTATCCAGACAGCTGAAGCCCTGGGTGTTCCTTATGAGCAGTGGAAGGCCCTGAATGAGATTGATGCGGTGAGATGGAGGGGGATGGATTTCCCGGTGGATGGTGAGGCTTGACTCTAGGCTTATCCCCTGGATTGCCTCTACTCTGGCTCATATGGGAAACCTAATTAATTCAACAAACATTTCTTGTGCTAAACACTGTTCTGTGTCTTGGGGATCCAGTGAAGGCCAGAACAGACAAGGTATTTACTCTCATGGAGCCCAAAGGCCGGCCGTGAATAAGACATTGCTTTGCATGTGACAAAAGTTTGTGAGAGGGGAAGTACAAGGGACTATAGAGTCTCAGAAGGTGAGGGTACTCTTGACAAGACAGTGGTGGAAGATTTAGAAGGAAAGCTTCCTAGAGGAAGCTGGAGATGAGACAAGAAGCAGGCAAAATGGACTGGGGTGAGGGATAATTTTAATTTGAGAAATAGGGAACAGTTCATGTGAAAGCCCAGAGGTAAGAAGAGAGCATGGCATGTTTAGGGAACTGAGGAAAAATAGCAGAGAGTCTGGGACAATGAGTGTGAGGTCTGGAGAGAAGGGAGATGAGGTTGGAAATGAAGACAGCTTATAGGGCTTTATAGCCCATGTTGAGGGATTTGGATGCTGCCCTAAAAATGGGAAGCCATTGATGTGGTCTAAGTCAAGGAGGAGTGGCCTGAATGTGATTCACATTTTCTTAAAAAAAGACCACTCTGGTCATGTGTGGAGACTAGGTGAGAAGAAGGCCAGAATGAGAATGCATACCGGTATGGAGATGGCTGCATTTGTCTAGGCAAGAGGTGAGGGTGTGATGGCCCATATGTATATTGGAGATGAAATGAAGAAGAAAAATTTGGTAAATATTTCATATGACCCTCGTGACATGGCAGTCTCTCATTAGAGTCAGGTTTTTCCATGAGCTTCTTGAGAAGGTGTTTCCTCTCCATCGTCTCACCTGCACTATAGGTACACTGACCTCAGGTTAGACACTAAAGTAAAAGCTTCACTACAGATGTGGATAACTTGAGTGTAGGTAGGTTAACCTGATTGCCTGCTAGATAAATACAGAGAAGTATGTTTGTGTATACATAATACATATATGCTTAACTGTAGATGTACAGAGGCACACATATTTAGAAAAGGGATATACAACATTGTTATACATATCACATATATTTGTTATAAAATACATGCAAGAAACAGTTCATCATAATTGTTCAGTTATTGTTTGTTTCTGGCCCACATGTGGTGTAAACATTTATTGGATACCTACTCCATTTCAGGCTCTGGAGTAGTGCTGGAGACAGAGATTGGTCCCTGTCTTCACTGGGTTTTCAGAAAAAAACAGAGTAGACAGAGGAATGCAAAATAGTGTGCATGATACAGGCTCTGATGGGTTAGAATGTGGGCACACAGATGTTGGGGCAAGGTATCCGACCCAGCCATGATCTGCCTAGAGGAAGTGATGCCTAGCTAAAGCCTAAGGGGTGAGTAACAGTGAGCCAGAGAGAGAGGATCAGGAATAGTATGTCATGCAGAGAAAGCAGAATAAGGAAAGAGGGAATTGTGTGTGTGTGTGTGTGTGTGTGTGTGTGTGTGTGTGTAGACCTACTAAGGTCATAGCAGTGCAGATGGAGAGGGAAGAAAAAGGAATATATCTGAGAGAAATTTAAGAGGAAGAATCTCAGGAATTAGCTATGAGGGGATGGGTAAGGAAGAAGGAAGAATTTAGAATGATGTCTAATTTTCTGGTTTCTTTTCCATTCAGTAATATATTAATAATTAGATATATTAATCAATAACATTAGATTAAATTAATATATTTAAATTACTGTATAATCTAAATAATATTAATTAATATAATAATATATTCTATTGATTGAGTTTTTAAAATGTGCCTTGTACATTCTGTACTAGTCTCTTTTACATATATTATCTCTAATATTCAAACTACTGTTGTGAGGTAGTTATAATTATCCTTATTTTGCAGATGAGGAAAATAAAATTCAGAGAAGTTAAGCAATTTTCCTTGTCAATAAAGTCAGTGGCCACTTCCACAGGCAACAGGCTCCCAGCATGCCTCAGAATAGAAAGTCAAAGCCAATCTGGAAGGACCTTGTGTATATACAGGGTGCACTTTCTCCTATGGACAGTGTCAGTTGCAGGTTTGACACTGCCTGTCTTCTTGTAGGCTGGGGCAGGGGTGAACCTAAACCCTAAAGGAAGCTTGGTTGATGGCTCAAAAGACAACAACCAGAGCACATTGCTCCCCTACAGGAAGGTCTACTTGGAATCTACACAACCAGAAGGAAATCTTACAAACCCAACATCACTTCCCACCTCTACCAGCAGCCACCTCACTTCTGTGGATTTCTCAGTGGGAACTCATTCTCTGAGCCCTTGATTCCTTTGGGTGTGGAGAGTGTATCTCCCCAAGGACCACTCTGAAACTGTTAGGAATTTACTAATTCTTGCCTTCTGAGAAGTCTGTGGATACCTGTTTCTTTATCTGCCAGAGGTCCTGGAGCAGAGGTGTGGGCAGGAGGGATGGGAAATGCTATAACACAAGAAAGCACTGCTGTGGATGTGCGCACACACATGTGCCTGCCTACACAGTCACAGACATCCACCATAGGTATGTTTACACTCACAGACATGCACTTCACAGACACATGGACCCAATAGTCAAACACAGGTTCCCTCTCAGATGCATTTACCAATCATATTTGCACCATTCATGCACACACATGCACACTTACAGACAGACACACTTAGAGATACATATCACACTCACCATAGACACACATGCAGTCTGCATATATCTACATCGCATAGACACATAGAGGCATACCAGGGACATATAAACAGTACAGACACATAACCTCAATCATATTACCACAGATTAATGCAGACCTTAGACATAGGTACACAGATACTCACACATATAATCAGGGACATACACACTCACAGATACACATACCACAGACACACTGAGACCCACATGGAGGGACAGACCACAGAGACACCCATGCAGTCAGATTCTTAGATGATCAAACTGTCTTCATACACACACACTCACACCAATACACTATACATATGCTGAGACAAAAACACAACCAACAGCATAGAACCTTAAACATACCACAAATACACACCATAATCATGCTGCACACACACAGATAAACACAGTCACAAATCCCCACAAATTTATAAAAGTACACACTCATATATACAATGTACACCTATAAACCTTTTGAGACAACCATAGAGAAACACCAGATACCCACCATACACTCAGCCTGAACACACCTATACACATGCACTCGTTCTCACATCCACACAGCTACACACCTTGTGCATACATACACACATACATTCAGACAACAGACGCAGACCTAGAGCTGTGTTCACAGAAACCCAGGTGCTTGTGTGCTAACGTTCCACAATCATTGGCTTCAGAACTATGGTAAAGATTGTGGGGATTTCAACTTGTGAATACTTTTGTCCCCAAATAATTTTTCTCAGGGTGTCTGTGAGGAGATGACCTACGAAGAAATCCAAGAACACTACCCTGAAGAATTTGCACTACGAGACCAAGATAAATATCGCTACCGCTATCCCAAGGGAGAGGTAAGGTTTGGAGGGGTGGCCAGACTCTTAGGACTCCTCCCCAGTATCTCTATTCCAACTACCAGGATTCCATATTTTCCTAGACAGCTTTAAAAACAGGGTAAAGCAAATTTTGCAGCATCTTCCATCCCGCAAGGCATATGATTATCTGGCCCTTTGCTGTCTCATTCTTAGCTATAGGCAACAGATTCCTCTTTTTTTAAAAGCTACACATCTGCCTGATTATTTTCCTGTCTTCTTTCAGGAGGACTCACTTTGTCCTAAACTTTGTATTTGATATCCTTACACTAAAGGTATTTGAAATAGTTCAATATACTCTAATTTCCTGACATTTTATTGCTAAGTTGCCTAAAGCTCCAGCCTCTCTGGACTGTGGGTTGGAGTCCCAAGGGACAATGGCTAATGGTTTATCCAACTTCTTTGCCACCACATGAACCAGACTATCAGTTCCCTATTCCCATGTGAGATAAATCCTCGTTGTTTTCAACCCAGTCTCCATTTAGCCAGTTCCACATGTTAGAATATTTATTAGTCATACTCCATTTTTGATAGATTCCAGGGAACAATGATCAGAAAGCAGGATATCAGAGAAAAAACAATAGATATCCTGTGTTACAAAGCACTTTCACATGTGTATTTTCATCCTCAAAAATGACATTATGAAGTCAGTCCGACTTTGCCCTCATTTTCCTTTATATATTTTGAGGTTATGTTGTTAGAGGCATACAAATTTAAAGCAATTATATCTCCTTAGTGAATTGTATATTTTATTATTACATAGTGAGCAAACCTCTTTCCCCCTAATAATGCTTTCTGCCTAAAAGTGTATTTTATATGATATTAATATAGCTATATAAGATTTCTTCTGGTCAGTATTTGCCTAGTTCATCTTTTACTTTCGTCATTTACTTTCAACTTCTCTGTGTATTTTTGTTTTGTTTCTTATAGACAGTGTATAGTTGACTTTTATTGGTTTTAATAAAAATTGAAAATGTATGTCTTTTGAATTGTAAATTTAGTACACTTACTTTTATTGTAATTACTGATTTATTTGAACTTCTTTCTATTCTCTTATTTTGAGCTCTCTAGGCTTAGTTTATCTTTTCTCTTTTCCTCCCTTCTTTAGAATTGATAGAGTTTTTACATCTATATTTGACTTATACAATCTCTTTCCTTTCTTTTAGTGTTACTCTTAACATTTTAATATGTGTGATTGACAAAATCTAAAAATCAATATCTCCACCCACCCCCTAAAACAATATAAAAATGTTACAACTCTGGTCACTCCCTCTCTTAACTTACATGTTAATTGTTGTTTTATATTTTACTTCAAACTTGTGTCTTATCCCCCAGATGACTTATTATTGTTATTAATAAATTTATTATTGTAAGCACAACTTACTAAGTAGATGTTGATTGAATTAATGCTTACTGAAGCACTTCAATTTACAACAATCTATCAGACTATATCACTATTTGTTCCTATCATACCAACATATTATATTTTTTAAGTTAAATCAATATTACCAGAGTAGAATTATTATAAATGCTAGACAAAATAGAGCTACTTCCACTTAATAAACTTTGTACCCACATAGATGGATTTTTTTCTTTTTTAAAAATTTTGTTGGATTATAGTTGATTTACAATGTTGTGTTACTTTCAGGTGTACAGCAAAGTGATTCAGTTATACATATACATATATTCATTCTTTTTCAGATTCTTTTCTCATAAAGGTTATCACATAATTTTGAGTAGAGTTCCCTGTGCTATACAGTTGGCCCTTGTTGGTTATCTATCTTATATATAGTAGTGTGTGTCTGTTAATTCCAAGCTCCTAATTTATCCCCCCCCCAATTTTCCCCTTTGGTAACCATAAGTTTGTTTTTGATATCTGTAAGTCTGTTTCTGTTTTGTAAATAAGTTAATTTGTATCATTTTTTAAAAATGAGATTCCACATATATGTGATATCGTATGATACTTGTCTTTCTCTGACTTACTTCACTTAATATGATAAGTGAAGTGAAGTATCCATGTTACTGCAAGTGACATTATTTCATTCTTTTTTATGGCTGAGTAATAGTTCATTTTATATATATATATATATATATACCACATCTTCTTTATCCATTCATCTGTTGATGGACATTTAGCTTGCTTCCATGTCTTGACTATTATAAATTGTGCTGCAGTGAACATTAGGTGCATATATCTTTTCAAATTTTGGTTTTCTCTGGATATATGCCTACGAGTGGGATTGCTGGATCAGATGATAATTCTATTTTTAGTTTTTAAGGAACCTCCATACTGTCTCCTAGATGGATCTTATATAGTTGAAAAGGGGTAAAATCACTTATCCAATTAAAATATAATTCTTATTCGCTAAAAAATAATATTGTATACAGTCAGTGTTTATTTAGATTTAACCACATATATCCAATTCCCTTGATCATTCCCTTGATCATTCTTTCTCCTTACAGCTGAAGTTTTCCTTCTGGGTTCAATGTCTATCTTCCTTTAGAAGTTTCTTTAGGAGGATCTGTTGGTAGTAGACTCACCTTTCTTTTTGTCTAAAAATGTCTTTAAGGAGGTGTGGCTCTTAATCCTAGATGGTATTTTGGCAAGGTATAAAACTCTAGGATGACAGTTTTCTCTTGGCACTTTGGAGATATTGTCCCCACTGTCTTCTGGCTTCTAACATGGTTAAGAAGTCTCCTGAAAGTCTAATTGTCATTTCTTTTCTCTCTGGCTGCATTTAGGGTCTTTGGGTCTCTATGGCTTTTAAGTTCCACTCTGATATGTCTAAATATTAATTTCTTTTCATTTATCTTGCTTGGGGTTAATTGGACTTCCTGAATCTGAGGACTAGGATTCTTCATCGATTCTAGAAAATTCCCAGACATTATATCTTTAAATATTCCTCTCTCATATTTTCTCTATTATCTCCTTGAAATGCAATTGGATGTGTGTTAGTCCTGTCTCTATCCTTTATGCCTCCTAACTTCTTCTTATTTTCAATCTCTTTGCTACATTCTGAGTAATTTCTTCAGCTCTATCTTCCAGAACAGTATTTCTTGAATTGTATCTAATCTGCTGTTTACTGTATCCATTGAGTTTTCCATTTTAATGACTATATCTTTCACTTATAGAAATTCTACTTAGTTCTTTTTCAAATCTAGATCATATATTCCATAGCATCTTATTTCTTCCTTACATTTTTGATTCAATCTTTCATTTCTTTCAAAATCTCAAGCATATTCATTTTATATTGTGGATCCTTTATCTTAAGTTGTTACGGTTCTTGTTGTTTCTGCTTATTTTTACTCATGATAGCTTATTTTCCTTGCATGTTATGTGAGCTTCAGTTTGATGAAAATTTATCTATGGGAATCCCATGCAGTCTGAGTTGAGAGAATCCAGAGAGAATTTCCATTTGCTTCTTCCAGACACTCTTGGGAGCTAATGACTTGAAATCACTTTTTATTAAACTCTCAGCTTAGCATTTTCTAAAACACATAGGTAGTATAATTCTCAACCACAAATCCACCTGAGGATAGGCTTGTGGTTATACATTCTTACAGGAGGCTTTTCCTAATTTTTTCCACCAAGAGTCAGGCAGAGACAGATATATTTTCTTACTGTTTCCCTTTGCCTGTGGATATATTTTTTAGTTTATAGTTTTTCTGAGGATGTAGTCCTTTGAAGGTCTCAGATTTTTGTGAGAGTCTCAGTCCCAAATCCCCATCTCGTACACACCTAAGGCCTTGTCTCATGTTTCTATAAGGTTTTAAAAGCTCAAGGCTCTTGGATACTGTCATTGGCAAATGCCCTCATGGGAGTTGTGGCTTCTATATCCATTTATCACTCTTTTTTTCCAGTTTTTCTTCATTTTGGAACCATATATTCATAATGTTTCCTTCATTTTCTTGAAAGATCAGCAGTGCAGACATTTATTTTATCCAGATTTTCTAGGGAATTTTCGTGGAAATTTTATTATTGTTATCTACTCCACTATATTGGTTGCCCCATTTAATAGATGAGAAACTAAGGCCCTAAGAAGGAAGTGAGTTGCCTAAGGTCATACTGCTGGACCAACAACGGAACTGGCGCCACAGCCAAGTTTTCCTGATTCCTAGTGTAGAGTTCTTCTCCTCTGGGCAAATGTGCCTCATCTCCTCTTCTTACCCAAGTGTTTCTCTCCCTTTCAGTCCTATGAGGACCTGGTCCAGCGTCTGGAGCCAGTTATAATGGAGCTAGAACGGCAGGAAAATGTATTGGTGATCTGCCACCAGGCTGTCATGCGGTGCCTCCTGGCCTACTTCCTGGACAAGAGCTCAGGTACCACGGTTCTCTCTGTTCCTGGCATGGGAGCTGCATGTGAGTTGAGACTCTGACACCAGAAGTTGGTGGTTTATATCTTAATAGTTAAGAGCACGGGATCTAGAGCAAGGGTGCATGTGTTCAAGTTCTTGCTCTGTCACATAATACTTTTGGCAAAATACTTTAACCTCTCTGTTCTCAGTTTCCTTATCTGTAAAATGGGGAGAATAATGATGAAGTTTAAATAAATGAACATATTTAACATAAAGAACTTAGAACAGTTCATGACACAAAGTATGGGCCATATAAGTGTTAGCTGCTATTATTAATATCAGTGTTACTCTGAGATAACATTTTCAAAGCCAACCTTAACAGTCTGCCTCAACCTGAAAAAGATGAGCCAGTATTTGTCTGAGGCATGCTGTTCTCAGGTGGAATGGGACCTCTTGTGGTCTCTTGATTTTGATTATAGGTTTCTGTCTTTGCTATAGGGATGATTTCCCCAAGATATTGATGTTTTCATTTAAAAATTTTAAATGATAATTTCTTTTTATAAAAAACATCTAGATATTTTAATTTACAGAGTATCTACACTGACTACAAATACTGAAAAGCAAACTAAGGCATCTGGCCTGGCAAGAGACTGTTGTGTCACCTTCAGGTGGGAGAGTCCATTTCTGACATGGATGCTGAAGCATTGACATCTCCAGGATACTGGAGGGAGGGAGTGTGAGGACAATGCAAAGTCATATTTGAAGTGTACAATATCCTGCAGACTTGGATCTTTTCTATGACGCTAGCTTCCAAGCAAAGGGCACTTGTAATATGGAGTCATCTAGAATTGGAACCCCTGGGACTTGAAAACTTGACATTGGACAAGTAATTTCCTCTGCTTGGTCCTCAATCTCTTCAATGGAAAAAAGATGACAGGGGTTGGGGTGGTGCTACTAGATTTCTGATACTGTCCACATCTCTACTGCTCAGTACTATTTTTGAGACTGTGAGGCCGGCCTTGTAACCCCAACTGTGCAGAAGAGGAAATGGAAGCTCTGAGGGATGAAGGAATTGCCCAAGATCACAGGGCTCAGTGGGGCAGGGAGAGGTACCAATCTCAGGTGCATTCCAGAGGCCTCTCACTTCAGACATATGTGAGGTGCATGGGAAGCACATGCATCTCCCATTTGCACACTGCTTTACCCACTTACTACCCACTTTCATGCACAGGCCATGCCATCTTCTCACAGCTGTCTTAAGAGCTGGGCCAGGCAGGACTGGGCACATGCTCTTGCCCCTATCACTCAGGTGAGGAAACTGAGACCCAGAGAGATGGTGTGACTGAGAACTCAGACCCATAAGACCTCAGAGCTGGGTCCAATCCTGTGCTATGAGAGATAGGAACTTTGGGGACCAGAAAGAGAAAAGACAGGGCTGAGGTCACTTGTGCAGGCAGTGGCAGAGCTGGGTCAGAGACCTCAGGCAAGTCGCTTCCTTTCTCTGAATCTATTTTGTCATGTGTGCAGTGAGGAACAGTAACTCCTGCAGAGTATCAGTGAGGATGGAATGAGATAGTGCACCAAAAGCACTGGGCCCAGCACCTGAAGATGATGGTGACAAAGGCAAGGAGGAGGAGTAGACTGGTTGCCCAGGAAATTGCCAAATCTTATGTGTCAGGAGGCTGAGTGGTCAGTGGCAGGCCTTAAAAGCCTACAGTGAACCTCAGGGGCAGGGAGGCCGTGACGGGTGGAGCTCTGGCTCAATGAAGGGAGATGGGGAGCCGTATAGGTTGCCTGGGTGGTCAGGAGGGTGGATGTCTGCAGAGAGGAGTGAGGTGGGGGTGTCACCCCACAACACTGTGAGTCCCTCGAAGGCAGTGGCAGCAGACTGCAGTGGGAAGAGCACACATTTGGCCTCAAAGCATCCTGGGCTCGAGTCCCAGCGCTGCCACTTCCTGGTTGTGGGATGTAGGGCAAGTGCCTTCCCTCTCAGAACCTCAGTGTCCTCATCCATGGAATGGGCCTGATCATCACCTCCCATCAGGGCTGTCTGAATGTCATCAAGGCCATACGAGTAATTGCATGCGAATATTCAGAACAACTTTATACATAATCCTCAGTAACTGGAAACAAGTGAATTGGTGAATGCTTGTCCATCAACAAGTGTCCCAGGAGTCAGAGGGCACAGGCCTGGGCTGGGGAGAAAGCTGCGGGAGCTGCCAAGGTGCACGTACACCTCAGCCACGGCCCCGGCGCATAGTAGGGCCTCAGAAAACACTTGCTGAGACCTGTTGTGGGCCTCTGTGGTGGGGGAGCCCATGGAAGGGCTGAGGTTGGGGCCGGGAGGGAGGCCTGCCTTGGTCTTATGTTTGCCCTGTGGGTGAGGATGTCGGCCACCTCCGAGGTGACCATCCTCAGCGTCTGGGGGACCCAGGGTCTGTCTGCGATCTCCAGGGCCCTCCTTCCTCCCTGCTCCTGAGGCTGCCTCTCTGCTCTCTTCCTCCTTCCCCACCCTGCTCTCAGCACTGTCTCTGAAGACTGTGGGGGAGCAGGGCCCAGGTGAAGACAACCATGGGGAAGGGGGTGGAAAGGGAGAGTGCTGCAAGCCTGGAGGTCTGGGGAGGTGGTGCCTTCCCCAGCACCCTGTCTCTGAGGGCTGCTCTCTCCTCCTTTCTAGATGAGCTGCCTTATCTCAGGTGCCCTCTGCACACAGTGCTCAAACTTACACCTGTGGCTTATGGTGAGTCCCCTACCTTCATCTGGGGAAAAGCACATAGACACCATGATCGTGCCTGCAGTGCCTAGCATTTTCCCAGAAGAGTCCTGAGAGAGATTTCCTGGGTGGGTAGTTGGATGTCTTGGTAGAGGCAGGGCTGGTGATAGCAAGATGAGAATGGGGAAGGACTGAGGTGGCCTCTAAATCTGGGACCTGGCCCCAGCTTTCTCTGTCTCTACCAGAGCACCAATCATACAGCACAAAGCTGTAGAAGACGGGGTCCCCAAAAGGGACCAGATGAATAAGTGTATGTTGGGGCCAGATTTGAAGAGAGGGTTCAAAGACCAGCCCGGGCAGTTGAGACTCTCTTTGGGGGCATTAGTGAGCTCTGGAATGTTCATGAGCGATGAAGAGACAGACTCAAATCTATTCTGGAGTATGAACAGGGCAGATGGTGTACTGAAACCTGGATTAGTGTTCAATCCACAGGGTTGGAGCTAAGGGGGCTTCCATAGGCATTGGGCCTCCTCTGCCCGCTCCAGGCCCCAATGATACCACCTTCCTCTTTCTTCAGGCTTCCTAGAACTCCCTTGTGACCTTCCACACCTCTGATGTTGCCATAACCGCATAGTTCTGGAAATAAATTTTACCTGGGACTGGTCGCCCCAAGGCAGAGACACCAGGACTCTTCCACCACTTTAGCACCTAACACAGCTGGGAGGATCCACAGAGCTCCATTGTTATTATTAGGTTTCTGTCTCACAGACAAGAGCTGGGGAGGGGTGCAAAAATCATCTCCTGTCATCTCTCATTCCCATTGACAACTGGGCAAGGGAGGCTCAGAGAAGTCTGAGACTATTAGGGGAAGAGCTGGGAGGATGCCCCATTCCTGTATCTTAGGCCTAGTGTCTTCCCCTGACATCACACAAGTGGTCTAAATTCCTCTCCCTAAAGGGCAGTCACAGTCTGCACACAGCATGGAGCTGGGGGTGTGGGTGGTGACGGGTGGAGGAGGGAATGACACCTCAGGAAAGACCTGTGCTTACCCGGGTGGCTTATGGATGAACGGGTTGTTCTTTTCTGAGGCTGCAAAGTGGAGTCCATCTACCTGAACGTGGAGGCTGTAAACACACATCGGGAGAAGCCTGAGGTAGGTGAGGGACTCTGTGTCCTAAGCTGGCACATGGTGAAAGCACCCTCCCCTGCAGAAAGGCAGCCCCAGTCCCACAGAGCTTGGGTGTTTCCACCAACAGGTAGAATAACCAGCACCCAAAAATGCAGGAACCACAGCCCAGACCCGAGGCACCATAGACACGCACAGCTAGAGCAACCCTGCCTAAAAGGCCTCTGGCTGAGGTTCCCCCAGGCTTGCCTGAGAAGAGGGTCAGGATCCAGGCTTGGCTGAAATAGGGGAGCCTGGCAGTGAGGACAAGAGGCAGGGAGGGGTGGGGGCTCCACACTGCTGGATGCTTCCTGCTAATACTGGGTTCTCTCCTCTCAGAATGTGGACGTCAGCCGGGAACCTGAGGAAGCCCTGGACACTGTCCCTGCCCACTACTGAGCCCTTTCTAAGACATAAAACTGCCTCTGTCCTCGCTATCTTTCACGTTTAGGAGCTGCTATTGTTGCTATTCTCTTACACTGAGAACACTCTGGAGTTGGCCTCACTGAAAGAGACCTGCTTCCAGTGAAGAAACCCTCATCAGCTCCAAAACAGGTCTTGATTTCTAGCTACAACCAAGGTGCTGTCTAGGTCAGGATGAAACTTTTTCCTTCTTAATTCCTATTCCCTGATCAATAAAGACTTCTCTTACTGCCTACAAAAGGGGAAAGGAGGTCATTGTGAGCCTTTTCCCACAAGATCCTCTTAAGATCCTGACCCTATGAAATGGCTCTGGTGCTGTCGGGGTATGGACTGGGTGAGAACTTCCTGGAAAGAAGGACTTTGGAGTAGTACCTCCAAATGTGAGGGTGGAGATAGGTTCATGTGAGTGCTTATGGCCTTGTTTCTTCGTGGGCAACATGGCTGGGAACATGACACCTTCATCCCTACATTCAAAGAAGAATCTGCACTCAGACCACAGTTCTCCTTCCTTCTCCAACTCTTGTTGCCATCCTGAGTTATTTCACTGTCCATATAAATGATTCAGACAATACCCTGGTCTCCTAGTGTCCTGCCCCCTCAACTTCAGTGAGCATCTTCCCTTCAGCCACTCACTGCTTGGTTGGCATCATCTAGACTTCTCTCCAGTCTGACTTCTTAAATACAAGCATCCCACTATCTAACCACTGGCCCCCTGGTCCTTAAAACTCTCTGTGTCATCCACAGGGTGGATGCCTCCCACAGCAGCATGCCTCCCACACAGCAGGCATGTATGTAGTATTTCTTGAATGAACAATATTTGTTCTTGTACTGTATCAAGAGTATAGTCCTTTGATTCCTCCATTATCTCCCAATCCACCAGTCCTCTTCCTCTTCACTGTTCTTCCATACCTGGCCAGCTTGCATCCTACATTCTATCTCTTCAGCCAATCTCCATGCAGCTACTGTGGGCAGATAGCAGCAACCCACTTGCGAAGAGACAGACTCATACACCCCCTGACTTTGTTTGTCCTTCCATCACAACCACCAGCAAGACACAAACCTTGTATGATCCACATCGCTTTTTTTATTGGGATCACTGCTTGAAGCAAATCTACATTTATCTCCTTCTAGAGCCACCTTAAATCCTGTTCAAAGTCAGGGTCACCCTCTATTCTCTGGTATTCTATCCATCCCACCTCCCCAAGGATGGGTTGATTCAGTCAGTTCCTGACTATTCCATATCTATATCCTGTCCTTCTCTATTGGCTTTTGCCCCCACTGTCTATGCAACATGCTCAGGTCTCTCTCCTATCCCAAAAAAGTCCTCCCTTGTTCCCATGTCCACCTTTAGTTACGTCCCTCCCATTCTTACACAAATATCTCAAAATGAATCTATACTTACTCTCCAGAACCCTCTCCCTTTGCCTTCTGTTCCAGGCTTTCCCCTTCTAGATCTTGACTTAAGGTATTATCCCCTTGCCTGCTATGCTTTCCCCACATCTCTACCCCACTGAAGTCATACTTGCCTTTTAGCCTAAAGCTGGAGCCCACCTTCCCCAAAGAGCTATGCTGATCTCTAGCTCTTATATGAACCCAAAATGTCACTCACAACAACTTAGGCACATTAAAAGACAGAACAAACCGCAATTCATTTTTCAAATTTAATGTCACTCATATCAAATATGACAAGACACAGAAAGCAAACAACAAAGCAGGATTGGCAAACAGATTTTTTCATAGTATGTCACCCTCAGCTGATTGGTAATATCTGCTTAGATTGCTGTGTGGACAAAGATTCCAAGGATGTACCTTGGCTCCATGGGAAGGACTGCTGCAATTCATTAGCGGTATCTGTAAACATGCGATATAAATCTGAAAACAAAACACCAAACAGAAACACATTTTAGCACCAAATATACTATTTTCTCATACTTCCTTCATTGTGCTCATCTCCCCACCCTGCCCTCCCACCTTGGGGTTTCTTATAACATCTCCCAGCTCTTATACCCATCCCCATTGGCCTTGGCTGTGGAAATGTTGTAATTACCTGAAACCTCACTAGCCATAGGAGAAGCTACAGGCACCAAGGCTGGTGGCTCCACCACTAAAGCCAGCAGCATTGCTCAGTCCACTGCCATAGCCAGCACTACTGCTTGGTCCACCGTTGAAGCCAGCATCGGTGCTCAGTCCACTGCCAAAGCCAACAATGGAAGTGGGTCCACCAATAAAGCCGGTGCTGGTGTGGGGTTCACCAGTAAAGCCAGTGCTGGTGTTGGAACCACTGCCAAAGCCAATGATGGTGCTCAGTCTTCCATCGAAGCTGGTATTAGGCCCACCGCCAAAGCCATCACTGATGCTGAGGCCACTACTAAAGTCAGCACTGGTGCCAAGTGTGCTGCCAAAACCAGCATTGGTGCCCAGCCTACCACCAAAGATATCACTGGAGATCAGTCCACCACCAAAGCCAGAGTTGGTGCTCAGTCCACCACCAAATCCTGTGCTGGTGCTTAACCTGTCACAAAAGCTGAAACCAGCACTGGTGCTGAGTCCATCACCAAAACTGGCACTCGTAGGACCACTAAAGCAGGTGCTTGTACTAGGAGGGCCACCAAAACATAGGTTGGTGTTAGACACACTGTCAAAGCAGAATCTGGTGCTGGGGGCTCCACCAAAGCCAATGCTTGTACTGGGAGCACTGCCAAAGTCAGTAGTGGTGTTAGGTGCCCCACTGAAGTCAGTACTGGTGCTGAACACACTGCCAAAGCCAGAGTTGGCGCTGGGTGCACTGTTGAAGGCAATGCTAATGCTGACAGCACTGCTAAAACCAGCACTGGTGTTGAGTGCACCACCTAAGCCAAGACTGGTGCTGAGTGTACCACCAAAGCTGGCACTAGTGCTGGGAGAATCACCAAAGCAGAAGCTGGTGCTTAGTGTACCACCAAATTCAGTGCTATTGCTGAAAGAGCTACCAAAGGAGACACTGGTACTGAGTACACCATCAAAACCAGTGCTGGTGCTAGGAAAGCCACCAAAGCAGATACTGGTACTGAGTTTGCCACCAAATCTGGCACTGGAACTGGGAGAGCCACCAAAGTAGACACTAGTGCTGAGTGTGCCACCAAAGCCAGTGCTGGTGCTAAGTGCACCACTAAAGACTGCACTGGTGCCGAGTGTACTGCCAAAGCTGGTGCTCATACTGAGTGCATCACTGAAGCCAGCAGGGGTACTGAGTATGCCTCCAAAACCAGAGCTGGCTCCACCACTGAAACTTGTACTGGTGTTGAGTGGGCCACTGAAACTAGAGCTGACCCCACCACTGAAGTTGGTACTGGTGCAAGGTGTGCCACCAAAGCTAATGCTGGCTTCACTGCTGAAACTAGAGCTGGTGCTGGCTGCACCACCAAAGCTAATGCTGGCTCCACCACTGGAAGTGGAGCAAGTGCTGGGTGTGCCACCAAAGCAAATGCTGGCTACGCTGCTGAAGCTGGCACTGGTGCTGCATGTTCCACCAAAGCTAATGCCAGCCCTATCACCAAAGACATTACTGGGGCTGGGGACACCACTGAAGCTAATACTAGCACCATCGCTATAGCTAGCCCTGGTGCTAGCTCCTCTGCTGAAGTCAATGTTGGTGCTGGCATTTGCATTTTCTTGGGCTCTGGCCTCAATTTCAAGTGAAAATCTGCCCCAGGCCTGAGCATCATTACCTAACTCTTCCCTTGTTAGGCAGTCGATATCCATGTCATCCCAATTCCAGGGCCCAGCCACAGCTTCCTCTCCAATCCCCATTTGGGCTCTTGCCTCAGCCCTGGCCTCAGCCTCAGCTACAGCCACAGCTGCAGCTTGGACTTCCATCTCCACTGCCTCCCGGTACTGCACGGCCCAGTCCTTGGGGTCTTTCTTCTGCACCTAAAATGAGAATTACAATCATTATAAGAAAAATAACATTTGTAATTATGTATTAAATACCTACCATGGGCTTTGTATAAAACTAATAGTAGCATTTAAAAAAAAGTCTTAGTTGTTGGGACTCTATCATGGGTCAGTCCTGAGATCCAATTTCAGTTCGATAACTTAGGTGCTGTGTGACCTTGGACAAGCTACTTAATCTCACTGAGCCTAAGTGTCTTCATCTGTAATATGGGAAACGATAAGAGAGTATGTTGTGGATTGAATGTTTGTGTCCCCCCAAAATTCATATTTTGAAGTACCAACCTCGAATGTGACTATATTTGGAGGTAGGCCTTTATGGAAGTAAAGTTTAATGAGGTCATAATGGTGGGTCCTTGATCCAATAGGATTAGTGTCCTTATAAGAAGAGACTCTCTCTCACCACCATGAACACAGCAAGAAGGTATTCATCTGCAAGCCAGGAGGAGAGGCTTCACTAGAAACTAACACTGCTGGACCTTGATCTAGGACTTCCAGCCTTCAGGACTATGATAAAATAATTTTCTGTTGTTTAAGCCACCCAGTCTATAGTATTTTGTTATGGCAGTTGAGGAGACTAATACGAAGTATGAACATGAATGAAACAATGTAAACTTTATGTCAAGCAGCATTCTGGGACATAAATGAAGTTCCATGTGCTTATATATGAACTGCAGACTTCCCTATACCTGCCCATCCCTGTACACTGCCTACCCCAGCCAGAGACATCCTGTACCCTTAATATGCCAAGTCAGGGCAGCTCTCCTATTACCTTGCATGCAAACTTGAGAACTTTCATCTTGCTAGTCTCATGGTAGGAGCACAAGCCCCAGAAGAACTCATATTCAGGTGGTCTGCTGTTGGGGACCCTCTTGTATTCCAGATACCTTGAAGAAAGGAAATGAAACTTGCTTCTAACCAAGCAAACCTGTTGTCTAACCACTTGGGACCAGGTGGCAACCTCCTCCAAAGAAAAACTAAACTCAGCTCCTGGAGAAGGATTTCCAAGGCCCTCCTTCCCTAGACTCACTCCAAAACACAGTTCATGGTCTTGACCTCCAATACTGAGCCATTTCCCATTGGCCCTGTGCAAAGTAGTCACTTGGTGTGGCAGGGGACGCGTGTATAGGGCATGGTGTCACAGGGAGGCCAAAGTATCCTGCCACCTGTGAGGAGTAAACCCAAGTTTCTATCGGGTGTGTTGTAAACAGAGGAGCCATTCTTTGGGCATTCTGCTCTGAGCACACCCCACAGCAAGGGCCTTGTGTTTGGTCTGGCCCAGCCCTGGTATGGTCCACCATGGACTCAGTTCTAGGGAACAGGATGCCCATACCTCTAAAGGTAGTGTAAGAAAAGGGCAATCGAGCACTTTCTGGACCAGATCGGCACACTCAGAACACTTCATGGCCTGACAAAGCCCCAAAACACCACTTACTTCTGCTTCACAAACTCGTCTGTGATGAGCTTCCTCACCTCCCCAAAGAGTGAGTGCCTTACCCTAACAATGGGAAAAACAACCCATGAACCAAGATCAGAACTTCCCACATGGGGGCAGAGGCATTTCCCAACATGGAAGAGACCTCTCTAGTACATAAGACCATCTCAATGAACTCAGGAAAGTAGTGAACACATGGTCACTAGAAGCAGGCAGTTGAGGCCAGATGGTTCTTTATCAGGGATGCCCTGAAGGTCTATCTTATATATCAGCTTAGAACAGAGAAAGAACATAGGAGAAAGGGGAAGCAGAGAGTTCAGGACCATTTCCCCATCTACCCAGGTCAGAACCCTGGACCCTCTACCCAGTCCAGCAACCCTGCCCCCTCCACCAGACCACCAGGCTGATGCAATCCTGGGACCATCCTCTCTTGCCAAAGGACAACACGGACAGCAACTGCTGACAGAGCCCAATCATACCCAGGGTGCAGCCCCAACTTGGGCAGCAACTCCCAGATGACAGCTGCAAGGGGAGGCAAAAGGAAACAGGGATAGAAAATGAACATGTGGAATTCCGACCATGACCCCCCATTCAGCTGCCAGCCCAGCAACTCACCCTTATTGGCCTTGTTGCCATTCATAAAAATGACACTCAGAATCACCATGAGAAGATCTAGTTTGGGTGTGTCCTTGGTCCTAGGGAAATAATGGGACAGAGAGAAGGTTTACATCCAGCAGCCATCTGCAAAAAAATACACACCAGCCAGCCTACTAGGTTAGCTTCTCCCAGATTCTTCAGATATGAGAGAATTCTGCCCAGTCTATGCTTCAAGCTCTATGTGACCCTGGGCAAGGCACTTAGACTCTCTTATTCATAAAATGGGAAAATCACATTTTCCTCTCCCCAGGTTGCTGAGAGGATAGAATTGTACTTGTATTTGTCAACCCACTACAACCCGGATACCCAGCCAATATAAGTCCCTTCTTTCTCTTCCAGACCCCTCAGCTCCAAAAGAATTCTAGGCATGGCCCCACTGATGCTCCTGCCCTTCAACCCTCATGATTCACTCATACCAGGAAGCCCTCCCTTGGGAACCACTCTACCAAGGTCAATAGGAAGAGACAAGCAACAACAGGGAAGCTTCTGGAGATACAGAAAACTTGACAGTAGGAATGACCTGCCTCCAGGTCATTCCTGTAGGTCCAGGAGGACCTACAACCTCCATTCAATCATAAACAGGCACGACTACTATGTGTAGGGCTCCAACTACATGTGGGATATGGAAAAGGGGTTTTTAGGCTCTGTCTTTCCTGACTTCCTAGGGGATGTGGGGAGAGGACAGGGATGGAGTAGTACCATGGACAAAAGCAGAAGCCTCCCTCCCATCCCAGCCCTTTCCCAGCTTACGTTCCCAGGATGCCTGCAGAGGATTCCTGAATGCTGATGAGAATATACAAGCTACTTTGTTTATCAATTTCCTTCAGATTGACTCGAAACATCTGCCAAGTAAAAGAATAGCCTGTGAGGTCACAAAATTCAGCCTAGGCAGTGAAATAATTCATGTAAAGCACTTAACTAACACAGCAAACAGGTAACAAATGTACTATTGTTATCAAAATAGTCTTTATGCTTAATGGGACTCTAGGGAGACAGATAATGGGGGATGGAAGGGAGAGGTGAGCAACTGAAATACACTACAGGACATGTCCAGCAGTAGACAGAAGCCAGGACTAAGCTGGGTGGCTTGGGTCCTAGCTGTACTTGCTGTGTGACCCGAGGCTAGTCTACGACCCTCCCTAGGCCATCGTCTGCTCATTTGCACAGTGATGGGGCTGGATTAGGGAGCCTCTGTGGTCCCCCGCAAAGGGACGTGTACACCTTTGTTCCATTCAAGACTTCCCCATTGTGCCCATCCCACAGAGGATGTCCCTTCACCTTCTCCAGAGCATAGCTTGCTCGTTCAATGATCTCTGGGAAATATTCATCATATTCTTGGATGACATCCTTCAGCATGTCTGCAGGAAGGGAGAGGTGGGAGCAGCTGGGCTGAGAAGGGGCCACAGAGCTGCAGCCCTTTTGCCAGCCCTATGGGGTTAGTGTAGTCTGAGTCCTGAACTGTGTTAATGGGAGATGCCAGCCATGACAGAGTGTGAAAAGGGCAGAGGAGGATAGATGAGAGAATGAAGAGGCCATAAAACTAAATTGTTACCCCCAGGGCAGGGAGGAGAGGGGAGTAGAAAGGAGAGCTCAGGGAGGAGGATTGGGATGACTCTACCTGAGCGCTTGATGGGGATCTTTGTCTGGTCCTTAACCAACAGGTATTTCACCAACTTATTTGCCTGGGAGAAGAGGAATACATGGGGAGATCTCAATATGTTTTCATAAAACTTGGAAGAATGACAGAGAAGAGGGCAGGTGAAGAAGAGAAGAGACTGGGCAGCATTGGATTCTTACCCTTTCTTGCAAAATGGCCACATCTCGGGATAGCGGAGGCCTCTGGCACCATGGAATCCACCTATAATTACCACCACCTCTCTCATCCCCATTCAGATGCTTGGACTGCATCATCAGAAAGCAGAAAGGTCCAAAATCACCAGGTGAAAGAGATGGCTCTGTCTCCTCACCCTGCCTATTCCTGAAAGTCGCCTAAACCCTCCCTGTAGGAGTCCTGACCTTACCATTAGCCACACTGAGTTCTAGATTTGTCTTTCACTGTCTTCCAGGCAGGAGTTTCATTTCCCTGCCAAGACAGAAGCAACCCAAGGGCAGGGTCTGGTTCTTCCTCTTCTTTTGGCCACCACTGGCTCTACTAGCTGTACCCCTTCAACAAGTCACTTCACCTCTCTGGGACTTGGTTTTCTTATCTGTAACACTGGGACCTAGCTGGTAAGAGTTACTTTAAAACATAAAAGCATAACCTGTGTGACTATACCCAACACAAAGCCTGGTCCATGCTAACTACTATGTATTGATAAATACAAGTTGAATTATATCCAGTTTGTAGCTAAGTGTATGGATGTCTTATATCCCCACCAATCTTTGAACTGCAAAGCAGCAGGAACTATATCACATTCCTCTCAGCATCTCTCACAGCCTATGTGAATGCAGGGACTGGCTCAGTAAACTTAAAAGAACAAGTGAACAAACCAGGCAGATAGGAGTGGAAAAGAAGTACAGAGTTAAGGACGGTGATGTCAGAGATCTCACCTTTCGGTTCCTCTTGCCCCGGGTCCTGGTTGTGGGCTCCAGACTCAACTGAGCCAGGTAGTCATCTGCCAGGGCCTGGACAGCAGCAACAACCTGAGTCTCAAGGGCACTTATATTGATCTGAGGGGTAGTCATCTTGGCCTGGGCCCCTTTGTCAATTTGAGTCTGGCTTTCAGTTGTCCGGGCTTTAGTGGCAACCTCTTGACCCGGAGGGTGGCTGCTAGGGCTTGTTTTGTGACCATTTGACTGGCAGGTGGGGCCTCAGAGATCTCACAGGCAGAATTTGGGCCCTTATAGGCAGCCTTCTTGACTTTGGATTTTTTGGGCCAGATAGCTGCTGCTGAGGCCTCAATCTGCCTGGTAGCTGTCTCAGTGGCATCTGGGGTCTCTAGGAGTTCAGTGTCAGTATTTGTGTCCTTAACAGTTGCTTTCTTGGCTTTGGAGGTTTTCTTAGTTCGGATGGAGGTAATTTGGCCTTGGATGGTAGCTGAGTAGGTGGTGGATGGAGCCAGTGAGATCTCAGTGGCACTAGCTATGGCCTTATTGTTAGCCTTCTTAGCCTTGGGAGCTTTCTTAGGCTTGATGGAGGCTAACAAGGCTTGAGAATTGGCTGACTCAGTGGCAATCGGAGCCTGGATAGTCTGTGGGATGACTGGCACATTTAGGGCCTACAAGGGTAACTTGATCTGTGTAGTAACACTCTCACTGCCAGTTGGAAATTGGGAGCCTCGGGCTGCCTTAGCAGTAACTCTGTCTTGTTGGCTTTCTTAGGCTGAGCGGTGAATGAAGAAGCCTGAGTATTGACTACCTCAGTGGTAGCTGAAGCCTGGTTGATCTGGGGGATGATTGGCAGGTTTAAAGCCAGAAAAGTTATTTTAGGCTTGTTGGTGGTAATCACATTGGCAGATGGAACTGGAGGGGCAGTGCGTACTGTCTTAGTGATAGCCTTAATAGGGGCCTTCTTGGTCTTGCTTTTCTTAGGCCGGTTGGCAACTGGTGGGTCCATAGCCAGTAGGTCCTTGGTTGATGACAAGAGGGTATGCATCAGCAAGACACTATCTTCTTCTGTTGCCTCAGCCTGTACATCTGGAGGGAAGTGAAGCCCAGGCTCCCAGAGGGCCCTACACACTTAAGATTATAACGTGCTGAGCCATCTGGCCTCCCTACAACCCACCCTTTCTACAAAACCTCCCCCTCCTCTGAATGGTGACTGATTGAAGGGGAGGGTGAAGGAAGAGGAAGGGAGCAAGAAATAGGCAGGTTTTCTTCACCTCCTCCTCCACCATTCAGGGGAGGACTGAAACAGGTTAGGCAGGAAATTATGCAACTACAGAGTGGTAGGGGGTCAACAGCCTTAAATGAACTCAGAATAGGGCAGATGGCCTGCCAAGAATGCAGAAGGGCCTCACCTGGAATGGGGTCGTCTTATAATCGGAGTCATTTCTACTATCCATTTTTCTGGAAAGCCGAGAAGGGGCCTGAGTCAGGAAAGAATAAGAGGGAGGTGGACATTCATCAGGTCTCCTGCCAATCCTGAAGGAGGGGGTTCTGATCAAACCTTGGGCCCCAAACCCTTCAACTACTGGGTTCTCATACCTAGAAACCCAGACCATCTGGCTTCCAAATCCTAGCTCCTTTTGCCTCCAAGAAACCGCAAGCCTGCTCTCGATCCCGCCCCTTTACCCTACAAACACCCTTACCGCAACTCGGTAGTGCGCATGCACATCAACCAGAGGCGTGAGGGCAACCGCAGGCGCTCAGCGCGCATGTGCTTTGGTGGACTGGACAGCCTGACCACCTCAATCCCACATAAGCCCTCTGCCAGCAAAGCAGCAGAACATCTTGACGCCACTCCTGACCCACTCTTTCTAACTGTATCTCGTCTCATTCCAACCCTTCCCCCAACACCGGTCCCTCTCCCTCCGCTCTGCAGCACCTCTTCGTTCTGCGCCTTCCCCAACACCATACACCTCTCCTCTGCAGTATACCCACGCAGCGCACTGTCCTTTTCTGTAATGCCCCCTCCCTCCGCTCTGCTGTACTCCTCCGCACCTCCTCTTCTCTTTATATGCCCCCTCCCTATGCTCTGCAGTAAGTGCCTGCACTGCCCCTTCCGCAACACCGCACCCCTACTTCCACGTCTGCAAGTGACCATCCCGCCCTTACTGCAACATGGTTACCCCACCCACAAATCCTATGGTATTAGGCTTTTGTGTAATCCTTCCCAAACGCTACCAGGTTCTGTCCCTTTCTTTTCAAACCGGTATCAACCGGGTCCTAGCCCCTCTTTTCTCCCCTCTGAGCCAGGTCATTTCAGATGTATAATAAGGATTCTGCCCCTTGCTTTTTCTAGCTCCCAATCTCTACTTTCTGTGGCCCAAGCCAGGTCCTGCGACCTCTCTCCAGTTTAAACGAAGCCTCCCATCGCCTATCTCCCTACCTAATTGGATCGTGTTCCATTCTTTCTATGGCCGGAACTATTTCTCCATCTCTCTTTTCTGCAGTCCCAACCGGGTCAGCATCCCTCCTTCCTGCAGCCCGAACTGAGTCCAGATATCTCTTTCCGTTGCCCAAAGGGGATTCTGCCCTCTCCTTTCTCCCTTGCAAACCGAGTCCAGACACCTCTAAATCCGACCACTTCTATGCGGTTAGCTCCTGAACCTCTAGCAGGTTTCCTTCAAACCCTAGGGATGTGTGGAGTCAAGCACGTCAAACCCTAGCCTGGAGTCCCCCACAAGGTCTTCAGTAAAGCAGGGCACTTTAGCTCACCTCTCCCGTCCAGAAGGCGTCCGCTCTCTCCAAGCCTCTCTTTAGGTCTGAGCCTATCTGCTCCCCCTCCCCAGCCGGAAGTGATCCTGCCTCTTTCCGCCTCCAGAGGGGTCTCCTTCCCTGCCTGTCAGCCTCCTCCCTCACTCCCTACTTCCAGCTTTCCTTCCTCCCCAATGTGATCTCTTTTCTGCTTACTACCTCTTATTCAGCAATCATTCTTTTCTATTCTCCATTTGATTTCTCTATCCCCCACACTGTATCCCCATTCCTATTTGATTCCTCTGTTGCCCCTAGGAGGACTGTGTTTCTCTGGGCTCCCACACCAATGCTTCCTACAGACCCCTCTATGCCAACCTTAGTTACATAGTGTGTTGTTGTAGTGTGTTGTGTGTCTGGGTCTCTCTCCCCAGGAGCTGCTCTGGGGTAGGGGACTAGATCATGTTAATTTCTATTGCTTAAGTAGGACCAAATTAAGACATTTAGAGTCTCTAAACGCTAAAAGTTAGGGTATCCCCTGCATCATATGTAATTCAGAATAAAATCAGTAAATATAAGAAAGTCTACCAAAAGTTTTTATTTATCCCCTGATCACTATATTGATGCTTTTAATGTATATCAACTTAGCTGAAAATTTTTACTGGGACTGTGTTTCTCCTTTACTGGTACACTGGTACACAAGTGCTTAGCCTCTGTCTCTTGTGGAATGGAGCACTTCTCCCCAGTGTGGAAAACAGTTCTTCTAGGGCAATCACTTACTCCTTCAGTCAGTAATTATTTGTTGAGCACACAGTTGTGCCACAGCCCTTGTTAGATGTTGGATCCCTGCCCTCAAAGAACTCACATCTATTTTTTTAAACTTTATTGGAGTATAATTGCTTTACACTTTTGTGTTAGTTTCTGCTGTATAACAAAGTGAATCAGCTATAAGTATACATATATCCCCTCCCTCTTTCATCTCCTTCCCACCCTCCCTATCTCACCCCTCTAGGTGGTCACAAAGCACAGAGCTGATCTCCCTGTGCTATGCAGCTGCTTCCCACTAGCTACCTATTTTATATTTGGTAGTGTATATATGTACATGCCAGTCTCTCACTTGGTCTCAGCTTCCCCTTCCCCCTCCCCATGTCCTCAAGTCCATTCTCTACGTCTGCGTCTTTATTCCTGTCCTGCCCCTAGGTTCTTCAGAACCTTTTTTCTGTTTGTTTTTTAGATTCCATATATATGTGTTAGCATATGGTATTTGTTTTTCTCTTTCTGACTTGCTTCACTCTGTATGACAGACTCTATTCTTAAGTTCTAAAACACCCATGTAGGAAGAACTAGTATTATCATCATTCCACAGTTGATGAAATTAATGCCCAAGAGGTGACGTGTCTTGTCTAAAGGCACATGGTCACTAAGTGATAGAACCAGAATATGAACCCACATCTGGTTGATTCCAAAGCCTGACACTCACTGTGGCAGGTCTGATACTTGGTGCTACTGATGGGAAGAAGAAAGAACCCACATTGGCCCTGTGCTCTCCTCTACACTCTTCCTCTTATTTCCCTTGACCATACCAACACCCTATCTCTCTGCCCCCTTCCCTCCCTCTCTCCAAGTATTCTCCTCCCCTTCTCCCATTTCTTCTTTCTCTTCATGTACTTTCTCTTTCTCTAATTCACTGGTGAAGAGTTCCCCAGTGGTTTTCCATGTGCCAAAACCCATACTATGCACTGGAGATGCAAAACTGGATGAGATTCACAACCTGTCCTTGAAGATTTCTCCATCTGGCTGGGATGCATAAGAATACAACATGTCACTGAAGAATCCCAGAGCAGGATACTGATGGGCCTCACAGAGGAAATCACCTACTGGAAGGCAGTGAAAGCTTCCAGATAGGGTGTATTTGAGCTGGGTGTGTCCTGTGGGAGGAGTAGAACATTGGAAGAAGAGAAGGGAAGAAGGAGTAGTTCTTGTAGGACTTCAGGCTCTGAGAAGCCTCTGCTGAGCATAGGGGCACATGGGACGGTGTCATGCACCTGCTTCCCATCTGTTCTACTTGCACAGAGGCCCTCAGAGTCATGTTTCAAATGCCAAGATGACCATATCTATAGCCACCAAGGGTTCCCTTGGCCTGCAGGTTTAAATCCAAGCTCCTTAGCCTATCATTCAAGGCCCTCCACAGTCAGTCTCTGACAGCCTCACAGGCCTCAGTCACAGTGGATGACTCATGTTCTGCCTCCTGCCAATGCCATACCTTTGCTCAAACTCTTCCTCTACCTGGAATGTCTTTGTTCCCCTCTCCCACACCCCATGCCTGCCAATAAAAGGCCTGCCTTCCTATAAATACTGGTACAAATGCTGCTTTTTCCAAGAAACCATCTGAAATCACCCCAAGCTTAGTTAGTCTTTCCTTCCTCCTTGCTCTTTTGCATGGCTCTGTCAGAGCACTTAATAAACTGGGTAAGAGCTCTCTGTTTACTGGTTTACTGTTTACTCTCTTTCCTACATGCTAGATTGTGAGCTCCTTGGGGCCCCATCATGCAGATCTGTTTCATCTCTGACACCCCAGAACTCATGTCCTGTTTCACAGAATAGACATCTGAATGAAATATTACATTACGTCTTTTTTTTTTTTTTTTTTGCTGTACACGGGCCTCTCACTGTAGTGGCCTCTCCTGTTGTGGAGCACAGGCTCCGGACATGCAGGCTCAGCGGCCATGGCTCACGGGCCTAGCTACTCTTCGGCATGTGGGATCTTCCTGGACCGGGGCACGAACCCGTGTCCCCTGCATCGGCAGGCGGACTCTCAACCACTGCACCACAAGGGAAGCCCCATTATCTCTTCTTTTTAAAAAAAAATTATTGGAGTATACTTGCTTTACAATGTTGTGTTAGTTTCTACTATATAGCAAAGTGAATAAGCTATACATATACATATATCCCCTGTTTTCTGGATTTCCTTCCCACTTAGGTCACTACTGTGCATTGAGTAGAGTTCCCTGTGCTATACAGTAGGTTCTCATTAGTTATCTATTTTATACATAGTATCAAAAGTGTATATATGTCAATCCCAATCTCCCAATTCATCCCACCTCCCGTTCCCCTTGGTATCCATATGTTTGTTCTCTACGTCTGTGTCTCTATTTCTGCTTTACAAATAAGATCATCTGTACCATTTTTCTAGATTCTGCATATATGCATTAATATACAATATTTGTTTTTCTCTTTCTGACTTACTTCACTCTGTATGACAGTCTCTAGTTCCATGCACATCTCTACAAATAACCCAATTTCATTCCTTTTTATGGCTGAGTAATATTCCATCGTATATATATATATATATATGTACCACATCTTCTTTACCCATTCCTCTGTTGATGGACATTTAAGTTGATTCCATATCCTCGCTACTGTAAATAGTGCTGCTATGAACATTGGGGTGCATGTATCTTTTTGAATTAGAGGTTTCCCCAAATATATGCACAAGAGTGGGATTGCTGGATCATATGGTAACTCTATTTTTAGTTTTTTAAGGAACCTCTATCCCAATCCATTACCACCAACAGTGCAAGAGGGTTCCCTCTTCTCCACAACCTCTCCAGCATTTATTGTTTGTAGAATTTTTGATGATGGTCATTCTGACTGGTGTGAGGTGATACTCCATTGTAGTTTTGATTTGCATTTCTCTAATAATTACTGACGCTGAGCATCTTTTCACGTGTTTGTTTCCCATTTGTATGTCCTCTTTGGAGAAATGTCTATTTCGGTCTTCTCCCCATTTTTTTGATTGGGTTGTTTGATTTTTGATATTGAGCTTCATGAGCTGTTTGTATATTTTGTAGATTAATCCTTTGTCAGTTGCTTCATTTGCAAATATTTTCTCCCATTATGAGGGTTGTTCTTTTGTCTTGTTTATGGTATCCTTTGCTGTGCAGAAGCTTTCAAGTTTAATTAGGTCCCACTTGTTTATTTTTGTTTTTAATCTAGGAGGTGGATGAAAAAAAGGTCTTGCTGCAATTTATGTGAAAGTGTGTTCTGCCTATGTTTTCCTCCAAGAGTTTTATAGTATCCAGTCTTACATTTAGATCTTTCATCCATTTTGAGTTTATTTTCTGTATGGTGTCAAAGAATGTTTTAATTTCATTTTTTTACATGTAGCTGTCCAGTTTTCCCAGCACAATTTACTGAAGAGACTTCCTTTTCTCCATCGCACAGTCTTGCCTCCTTTGTCATAGATAAATTGACTGTACCTGCATGGGTTTACTTCTGGGCTTTCTATCCTGTTCCATTCATCTATATTTATTATTTTGTTCCAGTCCCATACTGTTTTGATGACTGTAGCTCTGTAGTAATGTCTGAAGTCAGGGAGCCAGATTCCTCCAGCTCTGTTTTTCTTTGTCA